TACAAAATTCACTCTTTTTAAATTCTTTAATCAATCAGTTATGTACTCTGTGGCTTTTTAGTTTTATTTATTATAGTTATTCTAAATAGCTATAGCTGTCAAATAATTCAAAACATGTCAGTACTGTTAGCTTGCTAGTAATTCACTCATTCATATTATAGTTTTGTCAGTTGTTACATATTTATTTTGCAAGTTCTGTTGCTTCAGGGTCTTACCTGTGGTAGCAGCACTAACATGTTTATCAGGCTCAGCAGCAGCTGCTTTTTTAGTCATACTCTGATCTATGGATTAATAGGGCTATTAAGATTACAAACAAACCAATAATTGAAAAAAGGAAAGAATAACAAACAAAAATAAAAGGCAGGAAGTCATAAAAACTCTAAATAATAGGCTAATTAAATTTTTTAAAAGCCATTAGTAAATGAAATCCTAACTGGACTAGGTAAGCAACTGAAGTTTCCTTATATGTATTTTTTAACTACATGACTGAAAGATCACACAAGTGCTCATACAACTCTGACACAAACAATACTTGATTTTATCTTGAGCTTAGCTTCGTTGTGCTGTCTAAAATTGGAATTCATTAGGCTTTAAACCAAGCAAAGTTAACTATTGTGCCATGGGAAAATTTGAGCAGTCTGCAGTGGTTCTAGAATCTGCTGTCCACTGCAATACCCAGTGCTAGGTCTTAAAAGTTGAGCTGTGAGTTTACCTTTCTCTCAGGTGGGCCCCAACATGACACCTCTGATTTGAATTGTTGAATATCTGCATGAAACAAGATATACTGCACTTCAAATCCTGACTGTTATGTGTCAGTCTTTTGCACGAGAGCGTTTGAGATCCAAGTTCAATTTTTTGTTAAATAATTGTGGCATTGGGGGTTAAAGGTGCAGTTGATGTGAAAAAGTTTGAGTCTCAATCAGCTTCTCATGACAAGATGTCTGCAGTTCCAGCTTTGGCCCCCTCTAGTCAAATCCCTCCTGTAACGGTCTTAGTCACTGCTGCTCTAAACTATCACTCTGAAGTTATTAAATTATTCCTAAAAGTAAGGTAAACTGCAATTTTAACATGCAGGAAATTGTTAAGCATTTTTGTTGCTTTTGTTTTGTTAAGCTGTTTGAGGTATGCAGTTTGTTCAAAAATAGTTTTACCTGTAATTCATAAGAAAAATGTCCACCTCTGAAGTTTAGCATTTTGTCAAAACTGCTAAAAGGAACAAATTATTAAGATGCTTCTAATTCTACTTTATATCCCCACAGAGGTATGGGGGAAGCAGACAGTGATGATGAAGGTGAAATATCATGATAAAAATAAATTTTATATTAATATTTATAGTCGCACCTATTTCTGGAAATTAGCAGGAAATCACAAATATTATCAATACTTATTTCAGTAAAAACAACAAGGAGTCTGGTGGCACCTTAAAGACTAACAGATTTATTTGGGCATAAGCTTTCGTGGGTAAAAACCTCACTTCTTCAGATGCATAGAGTGAAAGTTACAGATGCAGGCATTATATACTGACACATGGAGAGCAGGGAGTTACTTCGCAAGTGGAGAACCAGTGTTGACAGGGCCAATTCAATCAGGGTGGATATAGTCCACTCCCAATAATAGATGAGGAGGTGTCAATTCCAGGAGAGGAAAAGCTGCTTCTGTAATGAGCCAGCCACTCCCAGTCCCTATTCAAGCCCAGATTAATGGTGTTAAATTTGCAAATGAATTTTAGTTCTGCTGTTTCTCTTTGAAATCTGTTTCTGAAGTTTTTTTGTTCAATGATAGTGACTTTTAAATCTGTAATAGAATGACCAGGGAGATTGACGTGTTCACTTACTGGCTTATATATGTTACCATTCCTGATGTCCGATTTGTGTCCATTTATTCTTTTGCGGAGGGACTGTCCGGTTTGGCCAATGTACATGGCAGAGGGGCATTGCTGGCACATGATGGCATATATAACATTAGTGGATGTGCAGGTGAATGAGCCCTTGATGGTGTGGCTGATGTGGTTGGGTCCTCTGATGGTGTCGCCAGAGTAGATATGGGGACAGAGTAGGCAACGAGGTTTGCTACAGTGATTGGTTCCTGGGTTGGTGTTTCTGTGGTGTGGTGTGTAGTTGCTGGTGAGTATTTGCTTCAGGTTGGGGGGTTGTCTGTAAGCAAGAACTGGCCTGCCTCCCAAGGTCTGAGAGAGTGAGGGATCATTTTCCAGGATAGGTTGTAGATCGTGGATAATGCACTGGAGAGGTTTTAGCTGGGGGGCTGTATGTGATGGCCAATGGTGTTCTGTTATTGTCCTTGTTGGGCCTGTCCTGTAGTAGGTGATTTCTGGGTACCCGTCTTGCTCTGTCAATCTGTTTCCTCACTTCCCCAGGTGGGTATTGTAGTTTTATGAATGCTTGATAAAGCTCTTGTAGGTGTTTGTCTCTGTCTGAGGGGTTGGAGCAAATTCAGTTGTATCTTAGGGCTTGGCTGTAGACAATGGATCGTGTGATGTGTCTTGGATGGAAGCTGGAGGCATGTAGGTACGTATAGCGGTCAGTAGGTTTCCGGTATACGTCTGAAGAAGTGAGGTTTTTACCCACGAAAGCTTATGCCCAAATAAATCTGTTAGTCTTTAAGGTGCCACCAGACTCCTTGTTGTTTTTGTAGATACAGACTAACACAGCTACCCCCTGATACTTATTTCAGTAGTTTGTGATGGCCGAACAGCTCATGTTAGTTGAAGCTCTTCCTCTGCAGTATGTGGTACAAACTCCTTAGAAAGTTGCCATCATAAAGAATTATCTGCTATATTAGCATCCAGTTCTGCTCCTACCAAAGTCAAGGCACCATTAACTTCAATGCAAGCAGGATTGGCTCTGTAGTTGTACTTCTTACACTGGCATGAAGCCTAAGAATAAGAACTGATCTGGCTGCAATTTGACAATAGTTACTGGCCTTTGTTTTCTCACCTCAAAGAACTTTGAATGTAAATGTAACATAGGGCTTCTTAGCCCCTCAAAAATTATGTTGGAATGGAGCTTTTTTCCTCTCTGAAGCTACTTATAGTAGTATTTACTTTATCAGATCTTAAACAGTTTCTGGCAGCAAAAGAAGCAAGGACAACAATTAGGGTTGCCAACTTTCTAACTGCACAGAACTGAACACCCTTGCCCTGCCCCACCCCTTCCCTGAGGCCCCCTTTCTCCGCCCCTTCTCTGAGGCCCCACCCCCACTCACTCCATCTCCCCTCCCTCCATCACTCACTCTCCCCCACCATCACTCACTTTCACTGGGCTGGGGCAAGGGGTTAGGGTGCGGAAGGGGGTGAGGGCTCTGGCTGGGGGTGCAGGCTCCAAGGTGGTGCCATAAATGAGGGGTTCAGGGTGGAGTGTGGGAGCAGGCTCAGGGCTGAAGCAGGGGGTTGGGGTGTGGGTGGGGGTTTGAGCTCCAGCTGGGTGCGCTTACCTCAGATGGCTCCCGGTCAGTGGCACAGGGGGCTAAGGCAGGCTCCCTGCCCACCCTGGCTCTGCGCGGCTCTCAGAAGCGGCCACATGTCCGGCTCCTAGGCGGAGGAGCGGCCAGGCGGCTCTGTGCAGCGCGCGCTGCCTGCACCCACAGATGCCGGCCCTGCAGCTCCCATTGGCTGCAGTTTCTGGCCAGTGGTAGCTGCAGAGCTGGCACTTGGGATGGGGACAGCACACAGAGCTTCCCTGATCATACCTATGTCTAGAGGCTGTAAGGACCTGCCAGCTGCTTCCAGGAGCCACGTGGAGCCAGGGAGCCTGCCTTAGCCCTGCTGCGCCACCGACCGGACTTTAAACGGCCCGGTCAGCAGTGCAAACGGTGCTGTCCGGAGCCACCAGGGCGCCTTTTCGACCAGGTGTTCCAGTCGAAAACCTGGCAACCCTAACAACAATAGGAGATACAAAACAATAATAGTGTGGACTCCTTCAGCATGTTCCAGCCAAGAACTAGTGTGTTTTAAGACCCATTAATTTAGTTCCACAGTGAGCTGCTGGCCTTCCCCCCAAAACATACAAAGGCCCTAATTCACCACAGCATGTGCTCAACTGTTTTGCTGCATCAGGGCCTAAAAAGTAATTGATGGCACAAGGTCACACAAAAGGTCTGTGGTAGACCTGGGAGGAAAGTCCAGATCCCTGATTCTCAGCCCTGTAACTTAATTACAAGACCATAAAATGCATATTTTCCACCAAATATAAATTTAAAAAGTTAATTTTAAGTTAACATATATCCCACTTGTAATGAAAATACTTTCATAATTCAGGTATCAGAGAGCTTGTGAACCTAGCCACAGTTTTCACATCTAGCTTGCCACAATTACTTCTATTAAGATTACAAAACAAGAGAGGGGAAAAAAACCCATGCATTTTTGAATAACTTTCAAATGGCAACAAACTCACCACACTTTTACAGCAAGCAAATCTGACTACATCTGACTACTACCACTTACACCATGTCGTTCTGGTTGAAGCAAACCTTAGCTATCTATGTAATACTGGATGCTCAACTTAATTTTTTTTATTACCTTTGTATATTATTGACATTATTCTGCACAACATGAATCAAGCTAGGTTAGTACGAGATACTCAAAGACAGCTTAGCCATCTTCACTGGCTGATCAGCTTCATCTGTATTGCCAAGACAAAATAGGGGTTTCAGTCCACAGAAGATGACCCACTCCTTGAAGACTTTATGATCTAATTTTGGACAAGAGGCAGCAAATAGGAATTGTGTGAAAATTAAAAATGTAGATTAAAACAGTAAGAAAATGCAGATGATTCGATAGGTTGTGTGAGCTTCTGAAAGACTGCTACACTTACTTTTGTTTTTTTTATGTATTCTATTTAGTAGGCTATGAATTTTGTTTTTAAATTTAATTTTTCTTGTTCATCCTAAGTGTTTTAAAAGACTTAAGTAATAACAAACTTTAACACATATAAATGTTTGACTAATTTTAAATACATTTGTTTACATATATTTGAAATGCAAACCTTTGGTAGGTCCTTTCTTGTTCTGCATGGCCTGCTGTTCCTCTGTAATATTCAAACGTCGAACCACATCAGCCAGGGCAGATTTGAGCAGCTGGATGTCATCTTCCTGCATCTGGACACGCTGCTCCAGAGAAGCAATGCGGTCTGTTACCTCCATACTGCTTGCAGCAGAGGCACTGTCATCTAAACAAAATGGTGTGAAAACAATGTAATCTCAATGTGTTATCAAGAAATACAGAATGTATCTACATTATCTGGAAGCATAATTTATTTCTTCAGATCTGCGGAATTATAATGAAAAGGAATGTTTTGAGACGATGTGAGAAAACAAAGGCGTCTGAGAAAAATCCAGCCCCCTAAAATCATAGCTTTACTTTCAAGATTCATTCTTGTTAAACATCCATTTTCTTAAACACACACAGTGCATGTACTGTATTCTGTATCAGTGTAATCAATTTCTCCCCACATCTCATAAGCTCCTGCCTTTATAAAGAAACGCCAATATTATCCATACCCAAAATACCAAAAGACCAAGAAGCTGTTTTGCATCTATATGTGTATCTAATAAACCTGGTCATTTCTCACTTGATTGAAATGTCTCAAATATTGCCCATACACATTTTTGGTTTGCTGAGACACTTGTAAAAGGATGCAATATTGGTCCAACCCTGCAAGCACTTATGCATATAAGTAACAATATATGAAAGTAGTCTTATTGATTTAAATGTTAAAAATTAAGTACATGCATAAGTACTTGAAGGACTGGGCCCTTAGTCTGTAAATTTACAGTTGGTCTTCACATTTCTTTACAATTTATCTTATATTTAGAAATAACTGAATCTGGTAGATGCTTAGAACCTGACAGAAAGTGTGCACTCTTTTCACCTCAAAACAGTAAATGGAGTTATTCTGGACTGCAATCTTATTTGTGTATCCCACTCCATTTCTTATTAAATAGAAAAAAGTTACTAGCCAGTTCTGTAACTTTTTTTCTTCAAGATGTGTTGCACATATCCATTTCACCTCAGCTGTGTGTGTGTGTTAGAGATTTTTCCTTTAGTGGTATCCATTGGGGCAACACATGGGCTCTCTGCTGCCTCATGCTACTGCGTGATGATATAAAGGGGAGAGCTGCCCCAGACTCCCCTCAGTTCCATGAGCTCTGGCTGCCAAATCTGCCCCATCTAAAGAAGCTTGCAAAGAATCCTAACCATCAGTTTGCCCACTGCTAAGATGGCCCGGAATTCCTACCTGACATACTCTGACAACTTCTATGAAAACGACATAGTCCCAGCGGGAGAAAGCTTGCTGGTTAGAGATATGAAATTGTAGGCCTGTGAACAAACTTTGTGTTCTCTTTGATCCTTCTGGTCAATGGTAGGGGCCCGATCACAGTAAGAAGGAACTGAGGATGGGCTAGGGCAGCGCCACCTTTTATACCATTATGCAGCAACACAAGGCAGCAGAGGGCACATGCACTGCCCGAATGGGCACCACTAAGGGAAAAGTCTCCAACTCTGCTGAACTGGGCATACACATACCTGAAGTGGAATGTGTGTGAGGTGTGTGTGGGCATACACACCACTGAAGTGGAGTGCAATCAAAGAAGAACTTCATATTTCCTGTTACAAATTCTTGACTTTTCTGATTTACATAAGAAAAAACAAATACAAAAAGTAATATCTGGATATGTTCAGAAATATACAAAAGATAAAGCAAAAAAGCTAGTGATTTTTAAACAGAATTATAACAAAAATATTTGTTTTTACAATTCTATGAAAAGATTGCTATTAATACTGTAGTGGGGTCAGCTGCCTCCCAAAGGTACCTCTGCAGTGCCCTGATAACAATTTCTCCCTCAAAGAGCTTCTTAAACAAGCTCCACACAGGCTTTTCTTGTCCATTCACCACCCCTTCTCGGAGGCCTAAGTTTGTTCACATAAATAAAACTCCAAAATAAAACTCAAAGTCCCAAAACACAGTATGTTGGTTTTATCCTGTCGTCGAGTCACTCTAGGGTGATCAGATGTCCCAATTTTATAGGGACAGTCCTGATATTTGGGGCTTTGTCTTATATAGGCGCCTATTACCCCCTGCTCCCATCCCGATTTTTCACACTTGCTGTCTGGTCACCCTAAGTCACTCTCAGGCTTTTATTGCCTGTCGTCTCAGTAGGGAAACCCCACATCACTTTTTGGTGGAGTCTGTTCACTCCCAGGAAGCTCCAATTTAGCCTACACTTGGGCCTTCCTGTCTGGGGCCTTTCCCGCTTTGGCAGGCCACTCCCAGGCCCTACCTGACTGAAGCCTCTGGTTTCTGTCTTTTGCTTCCAAACCCCCTGGTATCAGGGTCTTCCCTGCAGAAGGCTCTTCTTGCAGTTTCCTGAGCTTCCCCCCTTCGCTACGGCCACCTGCTGCCTGTTATAGGGAATTACCTGATTCAACTCACCTATGCCTACCAGCCTTTAAAGGAAAAGCCAACTTGTTACAAATATCATCAGTGAGTCACTTCAAGTAAAATCATCCAGTGATGACTGAAGTACAGCCTTATTTATTTATTTAAATATTCCACACAAAGAGTAAACGCTTAAAAAACCCTCATTAAACTCATTCTGAAAAGTCATTAATTTGGGAGGCTTCTTGGCGAACCAGAATGAGTCGAGAACTGAGTTCTGCTTTAGCAGCTTTCACCAAAAGCCTTAATAGTAAAATAAAAAAAAATTAGCCTACTCTTTTTTTGGTAGAAATGGACATTTATCATGCTGGTAGAGATATTAGGATATCCTAGTTTTGTCAATGATTCTTAATGCACATCCACTGCATATGTTGTTTCTTCTGACTCTACATGAATCACACTTTCTTTTTTCAAAGGAGCCACTGTTTTCTCCTATGCATTTCCTATATACTTCAAACCAGTGTCTTTCCTTTCAGATGTCAGAGGATGAAATTAAAATTGCATGGTTTGTGTATTTATGATCATTAGTGTTGAATTTAAATACAAACAAAAACAAAATATTATGCAAGCACAGGCAAACAATTATTACAATATTTAAATATACTTTTTAAAAATGTCATGTGATATGCCCAAAATATCACTAAACTATTGGTTTTTTGTTAGAGAATTTCAAAAAAGCACATAAAATTAGTATATTTTATTTGTCTCCAAATCCATTCAAATAATTTTTATTTCCAAATTTGTTCACAGGCTACTTTTGGTATACCAAAATCCAGGTGACAGCATTTTTTAAACAGCTGATTTATAAACAACTCAAACATTGAAATAGTAATACTGCCTGACCATAAACAGTAGTGGGCCTCTAACCCCTGCTGCAATAGTTTGCAATCATTTGTTAGTTGGGCTTTTTAGAATAAGACACAATGAAAATGTCAATGTTAAAAACATTATATGCAATTTTACGTTTAAAATTACTGAACAAAGCTATATTTTAGACCTCTTGGTTTGACTAAAACAGAACTCAAATTTCTGAAATATGAGGAAATTGTTTCCCCATAACACACACCAAATGTTTTTTCAAATCTTGGCATAATCACTATTGTGTAGAGCAACAGATATTTCTACTGAAGCTATTACAGCTAATTAATCCCCAAAATAAGATTGTATGCAGTGTAGTTGTAGCTGTGTTGATCCCAGGATATTACAGAGACAGCGTGGGTGAGATAATACCTTTTACTGGACCAACTTCTGTTGGTGAGAGACACAAGCTAAACAATCTGTTCCACCTTGCATTTTGCTCTAATGCTGGGAGTACTTTTCCCAGACCTCAAGAAGAGCTCTATGTGGCTTGAAAAATTGTCTCTCTCACCAACAGAAATTGGTCCAATAAAAAATAAAATTAGCAGACTTCTTGGCAAAGGATGAGCTGTCTGTTATTACTGGCACTAGTAGTGACCTGTAGGGCTAAGATCTGTAATGCAACCAACCCAGTAACAAAGTGTGTGCAATATATACCCTTTTATTATTTCCCCACTTTCCATCTGTTGCAGCTACTCTTCTTTCCATCACCCCCCTCACACACACACACTTGCTGAATAACAAAAAGACACATAATTCTTGTCTCTTTTACTGCTGCTATCCCTCCTGCTTCTTATGTATTTAGCTTCCACACTCTCCTTGTTGCTGCGTTTCCTCTCAGCATAGGCCACCTGCGATTCTCTCCTTCTTATTGACATCCCTCTAGGATCTAGTTCTCTATTAAGTATGAGTACAGAACAAAATGAGCATTCATCAAGTGCTAGTAAAAGGTTAAGATCAGAGATGAGATGCATTAGAGTCCAGTTAGGATAAATCTGCTTTGCTCATGAATGCATATACAAATATAAGTGAGCAATAAGAGATACACCTCTACCCTGATATAACGCTGTCCTCGGGAGCCAAAAAATCTTACCGCGTTATAGGTGAAACCACGTTATATTGAACTTGCTTTGATCCACCGGAGTGTGCAGCCCCGCCCCCCCGGAGCACTGCTTTACTGTGTTATATCCGAATTTGTGTTATATCGGGTTGCGTTATATCGGGGTAGAGGTGTAGTTTCATTCTTAATGTGTGTATGAGTTCTGAAGAATGGAATTAAAAATAATACAATAAGCCAGTGGTCTCCAAAGTGGGGTGCGCAAGAGGATCCTTTGGGGTGTGCGGCAGGAGGAGCGCCGCCGGAGCAGCACCGCTTCTCCCCCCCCCCCCCTCGGCCGTTTTGGCGGGGTTTCCGAGCAGCTTTTTTTTTTTTTTCCCCCTACCTCGGCAGTTCGGCCGGGAATCCGAGCGGCTTCTCTTTTTTTTTGGCTTTGACAGTTCGGCCAGGAGCAGGGGGTGCATGCTCAAAAATTTTTTACGGATGGGGTGCGCGATCAAAAAAGTTTGGAGACCACTGCAATAAGCATAACTTGCTGAATGCCTTAAAAAGAGAAAGCCACAAAATTCAGTTATCTATATCGTGATCTGTTCTGTAGTAGCTGTAATACCTGTTCAAAAAACTTAAGCCATATTGGTAGTCTAGTTTTTAGTACCCTCTCATTGTATTATGATCATCGACTTCATATCAACAGAGCAATTTGTAAAAAAAATCCAAGTCCACAGTAAAAAACAGCCTCTTATTTATACAAAAACTAAATTAAAATGGAGTTAAGTTTGACAATACATATCAGTAATGTAAAATAAAATACTTT